TTTTACCTTGTCTTCTTTCCAGGTTTCATCTTGCAATTCCGTCCACAGTTTTTCGAGTTTTGATATGTGTTTAGCAACACTGTCATTACTGTCCTTCATTTTTATACCGAAAAACTCATTAAACAGTCTATCCTGGCGTTGTTCTGTCCGTTGTTCAAACACACTGTGTAGTTTGTCCCACATGTCCTTCGCTGAGGTGCACATGTTTATAAGCTGCCTCACCTGGCTACTTATTGAGCTTACGATAAGGTTTTGAGCTACAAACTCACTTTTGTTTAAGGCTAGCACTGTCTTCTCGTATTCTTTATGAACTTTTTATTATAGAATCATACGATTACAATTTTCTGGTTAGAATATGTCGCATAGAGTGGTGACTACTGTATCTTTTTGGTTTGCTTGTAAAACAGGATCAACAGAGATTTTCCATCGACTTAAACAATACGATACTCTCAAATTGTCCATTGCTATAACAAACTATCACACAGTTTGATGAATATTTGTGTGTAAACCACATACAGTACACCTGTATTCTATATATTTTTCCTTTTATTTTTTCAAGACTTTATAGAAAATCCCGCATTACGTGATCAGTGAAGAAAGGCTGTATCCCATGTGTTTTATAGGTAAAGAAGTAAAGAAGAACACTGCTTCGGGTCAGAGCTTTCAGTTATCATCAGCAATTGTAATTCCCGAATCAGTAACTGAATCAATAGTCAATTATGTTAGGGTTTGTTGATTATTTATAATGCACTTTACATGCTCCATTTGATAGTTTATAATAATTTACTCGGAATCTATAAGACACCTTTGGCTTGTATTAAATATTGGGTTGGGCCGTTTAGTATTTTGAATACAATAGGGGTACTCGTCAAACAGTTAAATATTATTATTTCTATGAATTTAATGGGTAACTTTAAAGATTAGGTGGAATTTCTAACATTACTTCACCGTAATCAGCAGCAAACATACATAAGGAATTCCAGTTATTGCAACAGACGCTCTGACAGCCCGTTAACATAAGACCTGCAGACGGGTCAACGAATATGCTGAAAAAATAACGAGATAAGTGAGTGTAAAGTGACTATTTATATCCGGTCGTCATACGCCACGAGACATTCCGTCAGTGAATGGGAGGCCCACACAAGGGTGAAGATCGATAACGCGCTGCATTTGGAATGGAATAATTTGCACAGGTCCTCGAAAAGTACTAAATTCTCGAGTCCCGAAAAAGTCAAGTCCCCAAAATGTCTTATACACTTACATATATATGAATTTGAACGGATGGTGTTTTTGGCCTCTAGGGACTCAAAACGAAAAATTACATCGGTCCCGGGTCCAGGTGTTGCCATGAGTACTACGGTAATAGCTTATACCCTATATGCGAAATTCGCTAAAAACCTAATAGTTCTATAGAATAACTAGCTGTACCCGCGGGCTTTGCCCCGTTTAACTTATAAATTTTCAAGATGAGCTCGTTCGCATGGCTCAATCACGCTCTGGTTGGAGCTCGTTCGCTGCGCTCACTTGCCTTGGGGTTAGCTCGTTCGCTACGCTAACTCGCCTCCAGGTTGAAGGTCGTTCGCTACGCTCACTCACATTTTGGTTGCAAATTAGCTGTTGTCATAAATTGTTCAATTGACACAGCTGTCAAGATTCATTAATTCCTTTTAAATATGAAAAATCATAAGGTTAACATGGGAAACTCCAGAGCCACTGGGGCGAAGCTCGAATGCCCTATCATAATAAAAATTACTCAGTTTTCCTATTTAATGCCCAAAGAATCGGTGTATCGAATTTCAGCCTCCTAGGTAAATGGGAAGTGGGAGAATTAGTGATGATGAGTGAGTGAGAGTGAGTGTGTCAGTGAGGGCTTTGCCTTTTATAAGTATACATAGCACATTCAACCAGCTGTTAGTTAAAACAAATTATATTGGACTAAAACAAATCGATGATTACAAAGAATACTTAAAAAAATAATTTGAACATCCTACTACTGTATTTTACTATGCATATTTAATTAATCTGCCATCCTCGTACCGAAGAATTAAATGTATCAATGGTCAGCATTACACATAGTATAAATAAGCCAACCATAAGTATGTATTTGAATTTTCTTCCAAATGCTGAATGTTACAGCTGTTATGTTAATCAAATTATATTGTACTAAAAGCTAGCTAGAAGCATTGACTTATTAATTGGAGAAGGTTAGCATCGGCTGCTAGACTTTTTAAAAACTAAAAGTTAATTTATAAAAAACTGGGACACTAATTTTAAATTATAGCTTTAAAATTCCCTAGTTCTCAAAATTGTCTTTATTTCAACACAAAACTAATGAAAATCCATCATCTGGTTGATTCAGAATCGTGAAAAAAACCCATTTACGTTTTAATAATATATATGATAGTTTGGACAGGTTTCAACCCTTCCGAGGCGTAATACATTTACACAGTTTATGTGTAGACTACATTATAACTCATAAAATAGTTCTAAAATTAAATGGATCTCCTTTTACAAACATATATAATAACCAGAAATTTTCAGTTCGTCCTTGCGGGTATTTTATGCCACAAATTTTGACGAAAGGCTATACCTATTTACAGTGTTGACCAAACAGTTGGCAAGAAGCATTAATAGATAAGCTATGTACCAAATATGATAATTTTAGCTCTATTCTAATTATGACAAAACACGAAGTAACTAAAAGCGAGTTTTGTTGGTGTAGTAAGCGTTGCAGGAGGTCTACTTTACACTGAATCGACGTTCACTTTTATTGCTTTTGATCTTCCGGCACTGTTGACTCAGCGAAACTGAACTTGTATTTTACCGTATTTCATTATATTAAAACTGCTGTTGCATTAGGTCAAATTCCCAATAAGTCAATTGCTTTAACATAGACCACGTTTTTAGCTCGGACTGTATTATTTGACTTACTGGGACTTTTGATCATTGTAGTTTTTGACCTAGCGGCACAGGTATAAATTATTTGATCTTCCGGGACTGTTGACTTCCAGCAACATTCCCGATTAGATAAGGGTATGGGCAATCCTAAAATGCTATGGGAAGGGAGGGAAACAGGTCCGTGACGTAGGAAGTATTGAAGGAAGTAGTCAAGGCGAGCTGTCTGGAGCGTGGGAACTATTATGATGATTAGATTAAGGTATTTGCAATCCTAAAATGCTATGGGAAGGGAAGGAAACAGGTCCGCGACATAGGAAGTGGTGAAGGAAGTAGTCAAGGCGAGCTGTCCGGAGTGAGGGAACTGTTCATGGCGATTAGATAAGGGTATGGGCAATCCTAAAATGCTATGGGAAGGGAGGGAAACAGGTCCGTGACGTAGGAAGTATTGAAGGAAGTAGTCAAGGCGAGCTGTCTGGAGCGTGGGAACTATTATGATGATTAGATTAAGGTATTTGCAATCCTAAAATACTATGGGAAGGGAAGGAAACAGGTCCGCGACATAGGAAGTGGTGAAGGAAGTAATAAAGGCAATCATAAAATGCTATGGGAATAGAGGGAAACAGGTCCGTGACGTAGGAAGTGAGGAAGGAAGTAGTAAAGGCGAGCAGTCCGGAATGTGGAGACTGTTTATGACGATAAGATTAGGGTATCTGCAATCCTAAAATGCTATGGGAAGGAAGGAAAACAGGTCCGCGACGTAGGAAGTGGTGAAGGACGAGTCAAGGCGAGTAGTCTGGAGTGTGGGAACTGTTTATGACGTTTATATAAGGGTATGGGCAATCCTAAAATGCTATGGGAAGGGAGGGAAACCGGTCCGTGACGTAGGAAGTGGTGAAGGAAGTAGTCAAGGCGAGCTGTCCGGAGTGTGGGAACTGTTTATGACGATTAGATAAGGGTATGGGCAATCCTAAAATGCTATGGGAAGGGAGGGAAACAGGTCCGTGACGTAGTAAGTATTGAAGGAAGTAGTCAAGGCGAGCTGTCTGGAGCGTGGGAACTATTATGATGATTAGATTAAGGTATTTGCAATCCTAAAATGCTATGGAAAGGGAGGAAAACAGGTCCGCGACGTAGGAAGTGGTGAAGGAAATAGTCTAGGCGAGTTGTCCGGAGTGTTAGAACTGTTTATAACGATTAGATTAAGGTATCAGCAAACCTAAAATGCTATGGGAAGGGAGGAAAACAGGTCTGCGACGTAGGAAGTGGAGAAGGAAGTAGTCAAGGCGAGTAGTCCGGAGTGTGGGAACTGTTTATGATGATTAGATTAAGGTATCTGCAATCTTTAAATGCAATGGGAATGGAGGGAAACAGGTCCATGACGTAGGAAATGGTGTAGGGCGTAGTAAAGGCGAGCCGTGTGGTTTGGGAATGGATTTATGTATCTCCAATACTATGGTGCTTTCAGAGTGAACTAATGATTTTCCCCGAGCAAAGCTCGGTCCCCAGGTACTATATATTATTCTAGCAACTAAAAAAATGTGTTTTTCAAATAAACTCTATGTTTATAAACTATTCCTTGTCTCGTGGTTTTATAGTGTAGTAAAGCACATACCGCAATTAGTTAACCAAGACAAATATTTTGTCCACATCAGGACACTCAAATATGACATTCCAAACCAGTTTCATAGTTTACAATAGAGTTACAAGTTATTCAATTCCAAAATCATTCCTCATTAAATTACTTTAGAACAGTCAGTTAAAATGAAGCATATAAAATCAAATCATTTATTGCTGTAAAAAACATACAAAACATACGTATGGCATTGTCATATTTTACAATAAATTGCTATTTACATACGGGACACCTTAAATAAGTGATAAATTCGTCAACATCATACACACTTAATTCTATCAATAGAGATTTCAAATGCACTTTGAATTTTTTATCATCTAGGCATTTTACATTATGTGGCAGTAAATTAAAGATTTTCTTACCTAATTAATATAATCACTCTTCAATCATTGTAAGATCAAATAAAATCACTTAATCTCATCCTGGGCTACAAACTAGTGATAAATCACAACAAAAATCTTATATTTACCTGAAATCTTAGTTTTCCAATTGGTGGTTTTGCGTAAGGTATATGATAAAAACTAAATACCTGCCTACCCTTAGCAGTATTAATTGTACCACCTTTTAACTGGCCTTGTAAAATATTAACTACCATCCCTTCACATACAACACACTTGGTTATGTAAATTACATAAACCAATGTAAACCAAACCATGACAAAAGTTTGTCCATACTGAATACCGTACATAGGCTACTGTACCCACATCTTTGCTTCCCAATTTATGGTGACCCACTTACTTGTTAATTAATAGTTTTATGCTGGTTGTTTTGAAACTGCAGCCATAGATGAAGTAATATACGTAATGTTATTTAATATTATTGATCTATTTTTATTTAATCTGCGCTGCACACCCATTGTTAGATAACTCTTATTTGGAGTAATATCATATGCATAGACAATTTTTTTGAAATTAATAACATAGGTACTGTGCTATATATGTTTTTCAATGGTTTTGCAAAAGTTTGTGTATAGTAATGGTTAAAGTAATGTCAAAACGTAAAATTTCAAAATTTAAAAAGATCTTAATTTTTATGTATTACTTATTAATTTTTATTAAAATTCCATTGTAGTACGGTAACTCAATAGCTGTAACCATCAGTGGAAATATCTATGAATTCATAATGTGTTTTTTGGACATTTAAAGTACCAGGTTATGAATTTAATTCAGTTCATTTTGGTTTATGTTTTTAATTAGGCCTACCATAATATTTATAATTCTTACTTTTGAAAACCCTATTATTCTTTAGAACCACAAAAATATTATTATTTATTTTCAAAACCTTGCACTTTGCCATAACAACAATTTTGTAACAAAATTTATATGTTGAAATTATAATTAAATCTGTTCCAACTATGGTACCTACTAATTTTTTTAAATTTTATACATTAATTAACGGTACTAGATGTTGCTCGGCTTCACTCGGGCTAAAATGGCCATTTGAATTAATTTCCCCCATATAGAGAAGTAATAAGCTATAAAGGAGTTTGCTTTATAGCTATATTTGCATTAACTGTAATCACCTAAGTTAATTTAACATATGGGAATACTGAAGCCAAATTAAGGAAGGACTTTTTCGTTAGAATAATTAACGCCAGGAGCTTTGAACTACTCTCTCTGGAACAACATGCATAATGTTTTCATCAAAACATACCTTCTTCTGCTTTTTCTTTGCTTTTTCTGTTTTCCTTTCACTTATAACAGTACCAAACCAAATTTGCCAATCGTTCAGTTGGTTTACTCATAACATTGAAAAGTATTAGATATATAAACCATCTTAAAGTAGCATTAAGTAAACGTAAAAGCTTATTTCGCGACAATGTTCTCTGTCACTGTCTTGAGTCTCCACAAGGTTCTGATTTGATATTATTGTTGATTTTTGTTATCCCTTCTTTTTAATATTTCTTGGGCTACCGATACTAATTTGAATTTTTTACCTGAGTTCTGTTCTGAGTTCATCTTAGCAGGCAGTCCTGGGAAGTTATTCTCATCAAGCTCTGTAGCCTGTAACACATTATTAGCATTTTCAAAAGACTAGGAAAGGACAATACACATCATTATGAAAATAAATAAATAGACAGTTTGTTTTGGCATGATAACAAATGAAAAACAACACAACTGATCAGCTGTTATGATTTTATCTTGCTAGCTTTGTCAAAATCTGCTGGGAATTGGCTAAGTATGCAGGTTTGCTCCCTGTAGTCGTAGTCTATTAACTTTAAACGAAAACTATCACCGTTTTACAAGAAATTTTACAATGGTTTAGCTAATTAACGACTATAATTTAGTACATGTTATTAGCCAAATCATTGTAGTTATAAAGTTTTTGTATAGAAAATGTCTACTGTTTTTTGAGGCTACGAGTTTTATTTTTGACTATTAATATAACAGTATATAATAGTCAATCGTTTTATTCCCTATGTATTTTGAATGAATTAGCATGAGCAATAACTCATCGAATGTAATAAAGTGCTAACTTTAAGCACTTACTTGTACGATTTGTCTTAACCGCTTGTTATTGAATTTGGTATTTTTATTATGTAAAATATCCTGATTTTTAATTAAATAAAAAGTTTGGTAATCGTTAGTAGGGAACTGCCTTGTTTTGAGGTGCGAAAACAAGAGGAAAAAGCCGATTTTCAAAATTAACTTTAAACTGATTTTACTCGAAACCCACATTTGGATAGAGGAACTAAACCTTAATTCATAATATTAGGCAAGTAATTTATAAAAAATTCTGGTCTGGGGGGTTCGGGACCCTCCTGAAAAATTTGTGTAAACTAAGTCTCCAAAATGGCAGTTTTATACCTTTTCCTTCTCCAAAGTTAGTGTGACAAATTATTTTACGCTATGTGTATGCACTACTGTATTACATACAGTAAAAAATATACTGTATGTATATGTATGCCCGAGGACTGGGAAAAAATATACTGTATGTATATGTATGCCCGAGGACTGGGAAAAAACATGTAAAATCATTATAAAACCTTAAAATCTTTTCAATAATGTTTAAGTTAACAAACTTTTACATTTTTAAGAATTTAATTGGAAAAGTATGATTTCATAGTTTGTTTTTGATACAATCCAATAGATTTGGGATCATTGATTTCCCTTGCACTCCTTCTATTTGTTGTGTTTCACATATTCTTCACATTGTTCTCCATTTATTAACATTTTTAATTTTTCCCAATATCTCTCCTTCACTTATCATGTTCGTTCAAGTTTCATTATTTAAACAGCAATTTCTTGGATTCAATTTTATTTCAGTGTATATTTCGGATCCACATTTTCTGTTTGTTACAGACAATAATTCCTTCACTAACTTCGCTCCGTATTGTTTGTCATGAAACAGAAAACAAATTATGTTGTAAAAATAAGATTTTCTTAATATAGTAAAATAAACTAATCTTCAAAAGAAAATAAGAATTTATTGGTAATATAGTGAAGTCAAATAAATTAGTGTGATATACCATTGACTATTTCAAAGGTGATACATTTAGAATGATTTTCAATTTACATTTTGATTTTTGTTGTCATTAGTTTCAGTTACTTATGTTGTATTTGTTGTCAAATAAGTCACTTACAATAACCTTTTCTTCCTTGTTCTTATCCATTAGGCCTACTGAAGTAAAATTATTAAAACACTTATTTACCCAAAATTTGATGGCAGTTTTGTTAGTTTTGGCGAATTTCCCATATAGGGAATAAGCTAATACCGTAGTACTCATGGTAAGACTTGGACCCGGGACCGATTTATTTTTCATTTTGAGGTCCCTAGAGGCCAAAAACACCATCCGTTCAAATTTATATATATATATTTATATATGTATGTGTCCGTTAGCGCGATAACTCAAGCAAAAATTATCCGATTTTGATAAAATTTGGTACAAAAGTGTAATCCTACGTTAATTCCAACGAGTTCGCAATCCAGCATAATCGGACCATGGGAACGGGGGTTCATGGGGGGTTTATGGGGTAATGGGATTTTCCCATTTTTGACCATAAAAACAAAAAATTTTGCAATTTATTTTCAAGCCCTTATGTAGAGCTTAAAATAAGAAATAATTTAGTATATTGAAGTGCTGTTGTTATGCCTAACGGTCACGGAGAAAATTCAGAAATAGTGTAATTGACAATTCCCATGTTATTCTTATGGAAAAAATGAAAATTTGTTGTAGTTTACTTGTTTATGAATATATATTTATAACATTTGGCAAATTTAGGTACTATTGATGTATGGTCAAAAAACACTTTTTACCTTCCCCGTAGCAGCAAACCTAACAACCTAAGCACTTGTTAAATCTAATGTTATTTAAATAGGGAATACTTAAATATGTCTTATTTATGGAAATTCATCATGCCAAATTTCAGCCCAATCCGTCCAGTAGTTTATGCGTGATTGAGCAACACACACACACACAAACACACACACAAACTCACAAACTTTCAGATTTATAATATTAGTAAGATAAGATTTTAGTAAACATGTAATCAGACAGGTTGAAATTAGCTTAGTCTGCAGGTTTGCTGCGGCGGGGGTATTTACATTTCCACCACAGTATTGCTGCACAACATTATTAAAATCATTGACTTTGGATTTTTATTCTTTATTTCATGCTATTTATTTTTCATCTAGATGCACCAGCTGTAAATAAAAATGCTGTTTGACAAGAGCACACTCTAAAGAGTGTATTTTGAATCGACTGAAATGTTGCAAAATTCAGTATATATTTTCAGATTTAATGGTATTGGATCTTCAAGTATTTTTGTAGTAGCATATTTAGACGTTTTGTAGAAATATTACTTTGCAAGTAATTTCCTCAATAAGTTAAAAATGTTACAAAATTAGTTTGCCAACAATGGTAAGAATCTGTAACTCATATACAAATGAATTGATTTACAATCTGATCGAAAATTAAGTTCTTAGATCTCACTATTGAACACTAACCCTCAGCAATACATATATCTGTTTTTAGATTTTACTGTGTCCATTTGCCATTACAATCTCCGTTCTCATTCTCTGCAACTCTCAAGCTTCCTTTATGAAAGCAAGAGGGTAATAAATATCTCTTACTTAGATTATAGGGTACACTTAGAATATCATGAACAATGAATACTATCAAATACCTCCGCCGCAGCAAACCTGCAGACTAAGCGAATTTCCATTTGCCCGATTGGATTTTCAATTAAATCTATTTAAATAACATTATGTTTAACAAGTACCTAGGTTTGCTGCTACAGGGAGGGTAATAAAGTGGGCTTTTTAGTAGAATATCAATAGCTTAGTATATAAATAAGGTAATTTGCTAAGTTTGATCAAAATATATCTGTAAACAAGCCAACTGAAACAGTTGACTTATTCTCCATAGCATGGTAATTTTAAATTTGAATTTTTTCTGTGACCAATAACTGTAAAAAAAACCCTTTAATATACTAAATTAATTGTTTTTTAAGTTCTAAAAAATGGTACTAAGAGATATTGGGAATTCTTTCGTTTTTAGGGTCACATATGAGAAAAACCAATTTTACCTCATAAAACCCCCCGTAAAACACCGTTCCCATAGTCCAATCAAGCTGGTTTGCGAACTCATTCAAG